GAAATAAATATACTTTTTCATGATATTCTAATTTTATGACCAGCACCTGTATTTTGACTTAATTTGAGTCAAATTTTCAGGCTAACAAGACAAATAATCTTATACATTCTGAAAACAAGATGATTATTCTTACACAATCAGTTCTTCTTTAGTAAATCTGTCTCAAAACAAGATCAAAAACACTTTTTGGCTGGATATAAGATTTTAAACTTGGTAAGATGGACAGTTTTTGTAGTGTATAAACAGCTAATGTAGCAAAAAACCTGATCAGACAACAAGAATAACAACAAGCTTTTCAAATCAAAATATTGTCTTAAATCCATGCATTATTGGTCCAGTACATTTAAAATGATTCAGTCAAATACCAAAATTAAAATCTATCCTAGTAAACTGATCTAATATTTCTTTTTTGCACAGTGAACAAATAATCCCAAATCAATGCATGGCATGATTATTCTTTCCTGATAAGCCTGAAGGCTGGGATTAAATCAGAGGGATTACAACCAATTATTAGTATCAGATGCACACATCCTGATCACTCACCTTCTTGCAGTTTTTTGAAATTTTATATGTTTCTCTGTTAGATTTTTTTGTTTCAGTTTAATTGTGTAGAATATCATTCATAGTCAAGGTGGAGAAGTTTTCAAATTCTTTAACATGGTTTAATTTCTTTAATATCACAAAAACATGTCATTTTAACAAGGACTTTTTATATCCACTGTGAAACAAGCCCCAAACATAATGTTTCCATTTTTGTGTCTTGACAGCGAGGATGATGCTCTTTATGTCATACATGGCTTTTATCTTTCTCCAAACACAGCGGGTCAAGCTGATGCTAAAGAGCTTAATTTTGGTCTCTTCTAACCACAGCACTTTCTCTAAAGCCTTCTCTGAATCATTTAGATGTTCAATGTCAAACTTGTGACAGGTCTGTAACTGTGCCTTTCTAAGCAGTGGGAACTTGCAGACACTACAAGGTTTCAACACATGACAGTGTGGTGTGTTACCAAGGCTGTTCTTGCTTATTGTGGCTTTAACTGTCTTTAGACTATGAAGAAGCTTCTACTGTGACACAAGATCTTGCATAAAGCTCCAGATCAAGAGTGACTGATGGTCATTCTGTATTTTTTTCATTACAAATAATCACACATAATGTTTCTTGCTGTTGGTCTTGGGCTTATTCTTACATTGTACAAATCTTGTCCCTGACTTCCTCTGAAAGTTCTCAGTTGGGCAGTGGTTGTGGAGATGTTGGAATGGAAAACATTGATTCTATGGATAAGTGTGCTTTATATACACAATGAGTTGAGATCATTAATGTCACTGATAGACTGACGTATTGGTTGATTTAATCATCCATGTACCATTTGGGCACYTAAACAATCTATGGGACCAATAACTCTGGATGGGTTTTAGGAGAATAATTCTTGCTTTATATAATGTTTCTCACTGAGATTTTAAATAAAATTATATCACTTGGCATTAAAATAAAACTACCATAAAAATGTAGACTTCTCTTATTATTTTCTTTTAGGTGGGCAAACATTAAAAATCAGCAGGGGATAAAAATCATTTTTGCCATCACTGTAGTTATGTTTGTTGCAAAAGCAGTTCTGACAGCTGTAACCTCATTTCATTTAGAAATGGAAGGTACACAACATAAAAAGCTGATTTGTACAGGTTAATGTGGTTTTACCTTTCTTCTGTAGCTGTGTCCTCTCCTTGTGTTGAATGTCCATTTCCCTGCCCAGAGCCTTCCTCTGCCGCTGCAGCTCACTACGGAGCACGGCGATTCGCAGCTGCATGCACTCCCGTTCTTTTTTCTGCTCAAGAAATAAAATAATAAAACAAGAGAAAAATAATATTCAGCATGTGGTTACATCAAGGTTTCTGAGTTTATTACATTCTGTGCAGATCCCAAAATTCCTACAAGATCTTTCAGGAACAAGCTTTGTTGCAGCCTGAGCCCATGTCTCATTGATTTAATACGCATCCACTGAGAAAATGCTTTCAGTTAATAATTCAGAATCCATTGTCAACAATTAAAGACAAAAAAGAAAGAAAATGAGAAACATTTCTCTGAGCCCCGAGATCAGTGTTGCTGGTAAAACTTGTCAGTAATGTTCCTCAGTCGTGGGAACGGCTGGCTGCAAGTTAAGTGGTGTGARGTTTCAACTTTTCACATTCAAACACCTGGTAAAATGAGAGCAAATGAGGCTTAAGATAAAACCCGGATCATTTTTTGTCTGCAGCTTTATAAGCAATTATACTTTTTACTCTATTATACTATATTATAAGTAGAATTTACACCAAGTAGTATCATTATTATTTTTATTTTTTCATTATTTAACCAGGGAAGTCTTATTGAGATAGCAAGATCTTTTGCAAGGGCAGCCTCATGCAACCTACTGTACATGCTTTTCTGTTGAGGAAACCCACACAAGCACAAGGAGATCATGCAAACTCCAAACAGAAAGATCCCAGTTCCAAACCGGAGATCAAACCCAGGACCTTCTTGCTGTGAGGCGTCGATGCTAACCACTGAAACATTGTGTGATTTATGTACATATCTGCATGTAGTTTTGTATATTTTAGTTAAATTATTGCAGTTCAACTTGTTATGTTTGTAAAACCATTAAAGTAACTACCAAAAAAAGGTCCTAATATTTCTTTGGACCATCTTTAGCTTTGATTATGGCTCACATTCTCTGTAACAATGGGCCTCATGCAAGAACCGTTCGTATGCATAGATTTGTTCTTAAYTTGTGCGTACYAYTGATTTAGGAGAATTTGTGGCATTCACCAATGTTTTCGTATTCTATGATTTTTTTCAGATACGAATACAATTCACGTGTGGTCCAGACCTGTAGTATATTTTACGAGCAGTCAGTCTGCTGTTATCCAGACGGACTTTCCTCCCTAATAACTTTATTTTTCATTAGTCTGAAGATATTTTGAGTTGAAAATAAATCACACTCTATGATTATCTTAACAATACGCTGTTCTGCTTGAATTAGAGTTATAATTTTAAATGTAATAATTTAGACTAACAATATAAATTGTCCGTCCGTCCGTTTTCTGCCGCTTATCTGGGATCAGGTCGCGGGGGCAGCAGCAGAGACCCCGCTCTCCCCAGCGACACCCTCCATGTCCTGGGGGACTCCGAGACATTCCCTGGCCAGAGGGGATACATAATCCCTCCAGCAAGTCCTGGATTTTCTCCAAAATGCCAGACATATTAACATTTTAAAATGCTTATTTCAGAACCGCAACTGAGACCACTTGTGATCGCGTGGGGGTGGCGGTGTGCGACGGTGTGTCTTCTGAATAAATGAAAATGATTTAACACAGTTGTTTATACTTTTAGCAGCTCTTTTTATTCCACAGCTGACCTGCTAAAAATGACAGATTTTCTTTTCTGGATCTCTGACAGACGGACTTCAATCTCTGAACTCGTAAAGTTCTTCTTTTTAATTTTCGCTGTCATTTTCCTGAATGGCCACTTCCTTGTATCTGAGGCAGGAAACATAGCCTTATATGGTGTTTTTGGGGTGGTAATTATGCTAATCTCCTCTCGCGTGCACGAGCAACTGGATACAAACAGGTGGAATTTACGCAGCTCATTTAACCCTTTTCCTGAAGATAGAAGAGTTTGTTGAATCTGACGTGACATTGTGCGTACGAACCCTTCGTATGAACAAAAGTAAGAGAAATTTAGGAAAACAATACGAACATGTTCTTGCATGCAGCCCATTGTTTGGATAAGCGTCCTAAACCTGACCAACTGCAGCAACCTCAGATCATAGCTCTGCCCCCACAGGCTGTACAGTAGACACTATGATGGTGCATCCTCCAAGACCATGGGTCCACTATCCTACCAATTTTAATAGTTTCTGTAATCTCTTTAGATGTTTTCTCTGCTTCATGCCAATGATTTGACCCTTCTCAAACAGACTGCCATCTTTTCCACAACCACAGGATGTGTCTTTAAACATGTTTTTTTAAGAAATGAGAAGCAACTCATTGCACCAGTTGGAGTTAAATAACTTGTTGCCAGCTGAAAGATAATCATCCATGCAATAATTATCTAATAGGAGGCTTGTATCTATTTAGCAAATTTTGTTTTGGCCAGGCAGTCTATTTTGCAAGCAAGCTCAGGAAAGTGTTTTTTTTTGGACAAGGTCGTAATAAGTAAAGGAAAAGCTTCACAACTTATGCCTATAGTTTCAGATTTCCATGTTTTTCTCCTGCTTTGCACTTCTTTGTATTAGTGTTTCATTGTGTAACAAAATTCTATGGAAAAGCAGTGTTTTGTGGACTCTTGTCTTTTATAATCTTTTGGTTATCATGACATCATTTTCAGAAATCTAAAGCTGCAGACACGGTTATCTTACTGTGAATGGGAGGGAGAAACAGCTGCTCCTAACGTCAACCTGACAAGATGTCAAGTCAGGCAGGTGTAAACACAAGGCGTGTTTGTTAAACTGATGCAGACAGTGGCTTTATCAGTGTGGAATCAGTAAGGAATGTGTTTTGAGTGGCAGCAAAGGAAGTCATAAATTTGTGCAAAAGAAAATTTGGAGCCTGTGGTTCGATTGTGTAGAACAGTTAATCAATCCTGGTCCTCAAGCACCACTATCCAGCATGTTTTAGTTGTTTCCCTGCTCTTCGGCAGGTCTGTAAGTTCTGGACTAAGCTGCCAATCACTCATCCATTTAAATCATGTGTGCTAAAGCAATGAAAACATCTAAAACATGCAGGATAGTGGTCCTCGAGGACCATTATCCTGCATGTTTTAGATGTTTTTTTCTGGATTGAGAACCACCGGTGTAGACAAAAATATGAGCTGCTGTAAATGATGCATAAACACACAAACAGTATGACATCTCAGTAAAAACCTCAGCTCCTCACGTAGCTGCGTCTCCCTGTCCCAAAACTTTGATGTCTCACTGTACTCTCTCTGACAAGCAGAAGCATCAGAGTCATTGGTCAACATTTTGGTGTGCCTCTCTCGTGTCCATGCCTGATAGCGGTAGGAGTCCTGAAAAGTGCTAACTACCCAAAGACAAACTACAAAAGAGGAAAGACAGATGAGAACAAATGTGGAAAATAAATGAGACAAGGCACTGGAGATAAACAGAACCAGACAATGAAAAGCAATATGTTGGGATAAACCAATGGGACATACCACAGGATGCAAAAATGGAATTAGCAGGCAAAACAGAAAGATCTATGAAGACAAATACAAAAAGGTAGTAGAGAAAGATATGTGTAACGAAGATCTGTCAGGGATTTAGCTTGTTTTGTATCCAGTAAGCACAAACTGTGACATCTCACACAAGCATACACTTAGATAGCCATCACAGAGTGGATCTGAGGAAAACACAGATACTACTCCTTCAGAAGAGTTGTGAAGGCTTTGAGGAGAGAGCAGAGCGTTATCAGCCACTGAGAGACAACTGATAGAGCCTCCATCTCTCTGGTGTGTCACACCCTGATACTTGCATGTTAACCACCGCTGGCTTTGGCACGAATCACCAAACCTCCTACATTTTCACTGAGTGCAAAGTTGACATGTGGGTCACAGGCATGTGAGTGTGTGTGTACAGCAGAAAGACTGGGAGCCACCAGTAGGGTCTGTCTGACTCCCACTGAACATCAAACTGCACTGGGTCAGCTGAGTAAATAAGCAGTAGGCAGTGGGGTGGGGGATTAATGGCAGAGAGTGGGTGAGAGTGTGAAAAGGCCATGTGCTAAGGTTTGTGGCCTCCACTCTGCCAACCTTTGATCCAGGCACACTATAAAGTGCACACAGAGAAAGGGTAGAGCGCTCAAAGAGTGGAAACTCTTAGAAGAGCCGCACAATGCTCCACTCACTTCATGCTGCAGGCCTTTACAGAAAGAAGACATGGATTATGTGATATATTGGCTGAGTTGAGCTCTGAAAAAAGGTTTGAGGAATGTTTCACTGAGAGAGAAATATCACAGACAAGTTTCTGAAAGAATCCTTTGTAGCTAAAAGAAAGGAGCCTCAAAGCTTCTGTTAAAAGGCTAGAGGAGCAGCTTTAATAGGTAGGTTAAAGGTCTGGGGGGGAAGGAGATTTTCTGAAAAAGAACATGAAGGAAAAAAACAGCTGTAACAGCTGTCTAAAGAGGCACTAAAATGTTTGTGTGGTATATGTGCAGCAGCACAGCCATTCTCATAGATCTGACACCATGGATGAACATTAAAGCAGCCCACCTGTCCAAAAATTATTTCTGCATGGAAGGCATACAGTCACGAGGAAAGAAAGCCCACCGTTTTTCATTCTAGGGTTCTACAGAATAATACTGTATTAATAAATTATCTGGTTTTCTACAGGTTCTAAATGTTTTCAAATTTAAGCTCAAATTAACAAATCATTAGTTATTAAACATAAAGAAAAACAAATTAGAAAAACTGTGTGGAAAAAGGTTGATCCGCTCCATGATTCAACTGCTTGTATAACCTCTTTTAGCAGCAATAACTCACTTTGACTGGGCCATCGACACACTTTGATTTTTTTTCCCCTTCCTTTCTTGTTCTGTTAAGAATTTGTTGCTGTGTTTGGGATCATTGGGCCTCATGCAAGAACCGTTCGTACGCACAGATTTGTTCTTAAATTGTGCGTACG